TACAAAGAACAAATATTAAAAGCAGCAAGGGAAAAACAACAAATAACACACAGGGAAATCTCCATAAGGTTAACAGCTGATTTTTCAGCAGAAAATCTGCAAGCCAGAAGGGAGTGGCAGGACATATTGAAAGTGATGAAGGAGAAAAACATACAACCAAGATTACTGTTCCCAGCAAGGATCTCATTCACATTTGACAGAGAAATTAAAAGCTTTACAGACAAGCAAAATCTAAGAGAATTCAGCACCACCAGACCAGCTTTACAACAAACGGTAAAGGAACTTCTCTAGGCAGGAAACGCAAGAGAAGGAAAAGACCTACAATAATAAACCCCCCAAAATTAAGAAAATGGTAATAGGAGCATACATATTGATAATTACCTTAAATGTAAATGGTTTAAATGCTCCAACCGAAAGACATAGACTGGCTGAATGGATACAAAAACAAGACCTGTATATATGCTGTCTACAAGAGACCCACTTCAGACATAGGGACACATACAGACTGAAAGTGAGGGGATGGAAAAAGATATTCCATGCAAATGGAAATCAAAAGAAAGCTGGAGTATCAATTCTCATGTCAGACAAAATAGACTTTAAAATAAAGACTATTAGAAGAGACAAAGAAGGACACTACATAATGATCAAGTGATCGATCCAAGAAGAAGATATAACAATTGTTAATATTCATGCACCCAACATAGGAGCACCTCAATACATAAGGCAAATACTAAGAGCCATAAAAGGGGAAATCGACAGTAACACGTTCTTAGTAGGGGACTTTAACACCCCACTTTCACCAATGGACAGATCATCCAAAATGAAAATAAATAAGGAGACACGTGCTTTAAATGATACATTAAACAAGATGGACTTAATTGATATTTATAGGACATTCCATCCAAAAACAACAGAATACACATTCTTCTCAAGTGCTCATGGAACATTCTCCAGGATCATATCTTGAGTCACAAATCAAGCCTTGGTAAATTTAAGAAAATTGAAATTGTATCAAGTATCTTTTCTGACCACAACACTATGAGACTAGATATCAATTACAGGAAAAAAATCTGTAAGAAATACAAACACATGGAGGCTAAACAACACACTACTTAATAATGAAGTGATCACTGAAGAAATCAAATAGGAAATCAAGAAATCAAAAAATACGTAGAAACAAATGGCAATGAAAACACAACGACCCAAAACCTATGGGATGCAGCAAAAGTAGTTCTAAGAGGGAAGTTTATAGCAATACAATCCTACCTTAGGAAACAAGAAACATCTCAAATAAACAACCTAACCTTACACCTAAAGCAATTAGAGAAAAACAAAAAAACCCCAAAGTTAGCAGAAGGAAAGAAATCATAAAGATCAGATCAGAAATAAATGAAAAAGAAATGAAGGAAACGATAGCAAAGCTCAATAAAACTAAAAGCTGGTTCTTTGAGAAGATAAACAAAATTGATAAACCATTAGCCAGACTCATCAAGGAAGAAAGGGAGAAGACTGAAATCAATAGAATCAGAAATGAAAAAGGAGAAGTAACAACTGACAACTGCAGAAATGCAAAGGATCATGAGAGATTACTACAAGCAACTCTATGCCAATAAAATGGACAACCCAGAAGAAATGGACAAATTCTTAGAAAAGCGCAACCTTCCGAGATTGAACCAGGAAGAAATAGAAAATATGAACAGACCAATCACAAGCACTGAAATTGAGACTGTGATTAAAAATCTTCCAACAAACAAAATCCCAGGACCAGATGGCTTTCACAGGCGAAAGAATTCTATCAAACATTTAGAGAAGAGCTAACACCTATCCTTCTCAAACTCTTCCACAATATAGCAGAGGGAGGAACACTCCCAAACTCATTCTACGAGGCCACCATCACCCTGATACCAAAACCAGACAAAGATGTCACAAAGACAGAAAACTACAGGCCAATATCACTGATGAACAAAGATGCAAGAATTCTCAGCAAAATACTAGCAAACAGAATCCAACAGCACATTAAAAGGATCATACACCATGATCAAGTGGGGTTTATCCCAGGAATGCAAGGATTCTTCTATATATGCAAGTCAGTCAACGTGATAAACCATATTAACAAATTGAAGGAGAAAAGCCATATGATCATCTCGATAGTTGCAGAAAAACCTTTTGACAAAATTCAACACCGATTTATGATAAAAACCCTCCAGAAAGTAGGCATAGGGGGAACTTACCTCAACATAATAAAGGCCATATATGACAAACCCACAGCCAACATCATTCTCAGTGGTAAAAAACTGAAAGCATTTCCTGTAAGATCAGGAACAAGACAAGGATGTCCACTCTCACCACTATTATTCAACATAGTTTTGGAAGTTTTAGCAACAGCAATCAGAAGAAAAACAAATAAAAGGAATCCAAATTGGAAAAGAAGAAGTAAAGCTGTCACTGTTTGCAGTGACATAGAGAATCCTAAGATGCTACCAGAAAACTACTCCTGCTAATCAATGAATTTGATAAAGTAGCAGGATACAAAATTAATGCACAGAAATCTCTTGCATCCCTATACACTAATGATGAAAAATCTGAAAGTGAAATTAAGAAAACACTCCTATTTACCATTGCAACAAAAAGAATAAAATATCTAGGAATAAACCTGCCAAAGGAGACAAAAGAACTATATGCAGAAAATTATAAGACACTGATTAAAGAAATTAAAGATGATACAAACAGATGGAGAGATATACCATGTTCTTGGATTGGAAGAATCAACATTGTGAAAATGACTCTACTACCCAAAGCAATCTACAGATTCAGTGCAATCCCCATCAAACTACCACTGGTATTTTTCACAGAACTAGAACAAAAATTTTCACAATTTGTATGGAAACACAAAAGACCCCGAATAGCCAAAGCAATCTTGAGAAAGAAAAACGGAGCTGGAGGAATCAGGCTCCCTGACTTCAGACTATACTACAAAGCTACAGTAATCAAGACAGTATGGTACTGGCACAAAAACAGAAATATAGATCAATGGAACAGGATAGACAGCCCAGAGGTCAACCCACATACATATGGTCACCTTATCTTTGATAAAGGAGGCAAGAATATACAGTGGAGAGAGGACAGCCTCTTCAATAAGTGGTGTTGTGAAAACTGGACAGCTACATGTAAAAGAATGAAATTAGAACACTCCCTAACACCATACACAAAAATAAACTCAAAATGGATTAAAGACCTAAATGTAAGGCCAGGCTCCATCAAACTCTTAGAGGAAAACATAGGCAGAACACTCTATGACATAAATCACAGCATGATCCTTTTTGACCCACCTCCTAGAGAAATGGTAATAAAACCAAAAATAAACATAAAAAAGTTTTTGCACAGCAAAGGAAACCATAAACAAGATGAAAAGACAATGCTCAGAATGGGAGAAAATATTTGCAAATGTAGCAACTGACAAAGGATTAATCTCCAAAACATAGAAGCAACTCATGCAGCTCAATATCAAAAAAAAAAAAAAAAACAACCCAATCCCAAAATGGGCAGAAGACCTAAATAGACATTTCTTCAAAGAAGATATACACAGTGCCAACAGACACATGAAAGAATGCTCAATATCATTAATCATTAGCGAAATGGAAGTCAAAACTACAATGAGATATCATCTCACACTTGTCAGAGTGGCCATCATCAAAAAATCTACAAACAAATGCTGGAGAGGGTGTGGAGAAAAGGGAACCCTCTTGCACTGTTGGTGAGAATGTAAATTGATACAGCCACTATGGAGAACAGTATGGAGCTTTGTTAAAAAACTAAAAATAGAACTACCATATGACCCAGCAATCCCACTACTGAGCATGTACCCTGAGAAAACCATAATTCAAAAAGAGTCATGTACCAAAATGTTCATTGCAGCTCTATTTACAATGGCCAGGACATGGAAGCAACCTAAGTGTCCATCAGCAGATGAATGGATAAAGAAGATGTGGCACATGTATACAGTGGAATATTACTCAGCCATATAAAGGAACGAAACTGAGTTATTTGCAGTGAGGTGGTTGGACCTAGAGTCTGTCATACAGAGTGAAGTAAGTCAGAAAGAGAAAAACAAATACCGTATGCTAACACATATATGTGGAATCTAAAGAAGAAAAAAAAATGGTCAGAAGAACCCAGGGGCAAGATGGGAATAAAGATGCAGACCTACTAGAGAATGGACTTGAGGATACCGGGAGGTGGAAGGGTAAGCTGGGACAAAGTGAGAAAGTGGCTTGGACATATATACACTACCAAACGTAAAATGGATGGAGTGGGAAGCAGCCTCATAGCACAGGGAGATTAGCTCAGTACTTTGTGACCACCTAGAGGGGTGGGATAGGGAGTGTGGGAAGGAGGGAGATGCAAGAGGAAAGAGATATGGGGACACATGTATATGTATAACTGATTCACTTTGTCATAAAGCAGAAACTAACAGACCATTGTAAAGCAATTATACTCCAATAAAGATGTTAAAAAATAAAATAACAGTAGGAGAATATCTATGTAACTTCAGTGTTGCAAGGGATTTCATAGGCTAGATGTGCCAACTGTACAGGAAATAGCTGATATATTTTATTACCTTAAAATAAAATTCTCCACAGTCATCATAAACAACATGAAAAGCCAAGTAAGTCACAGATTGGGAATAAGTAACCGTTATAATCAGCAAAGGATTGTGTCCAGAGTGCAGGAAGAGCTCCTTCAGATCATTGAGGAAAAATGGGCAAAAGGAGTAGATGGGGAGTTCACGGGACATAGAGTTTGGCAGATGAACTATTTCAAAGAACGTACAACCGATCAAGCCGTCTTTGAGGGCAAAATCTCCAAGAGCAGGCTTCTTTCTTTGGTTATATTATTGAGCTTCCAAACGTGTATGATTGTGTGCATAGAGACACCAAGTGTTTTAATATAAAACTGTGAAGATATTTCAGTGATTAATATTATATCATGAAATTTTGTAGGACCAGTCCTTTCCGGAGCGTGAAAATGGTTTTCAGGTTGGAATGAGATTAGAAGGCATTGACCCCCGTCATCCATCTGTGTTTTGTGTGCTTTCTGTAGCTGAGGTAAGAAATAGTGTTATCGTCTTGGGCTAATTGCAGTGACAGGAGAGAATTTTCTAGAGAATGACGAATTTCAGTACTTTGTGTTATAAAGAAGTCCAAGTACATTATGGATTTATTTTATTCAGTGATGGGTGAAGTACATTCTTTAATGAAATTTTTTCCTTGTCTGAAGATTAATTTTCTAAGTTTCTCATTACTAGTGGTAACTCTTGATTTAATTGGTAAATAGTTTTCACCTGAGGTTGATAAAAATCAGTGAATCCCACAATGTTGCTTTTGTCTGTTAAGAGACAATTATTCAAGTTTTAGCTGAACTAATGAGAAATGTATATCAAAAAATCCATGCTTATGAATTATATATTTATATAAATACATGAATTTTATGAAAATTATATAGGGTGAGGAGCCATTGATGAAGTAAATGGCTTATATAATATTTACTAAACATTTTATGTTATTAAATTGATAAAAGAACTCAGTATTTCGAATAACATCAAACATAGAAAACACTATTCACTTAATTTACTGAATGATTATAGTTGTTGAACTTGTATAGCATGTCTAGGAGATGTGTTTCTCAGACTGTTTTTCTTTGTTGAGTATGCTGGATCCATATGTTAGGTTGGGTAAGGTCGTACCCATTTTGGTTTTTCCTGTGTACTTTAGGTTACACTGTTTTGGGGTATGAATCCAAGCCAGACAGCAGGAGATGGGGTTTCTGAAAGGAATATTTGCTAGGTATTGAATGAACAAATAAACTTGTTGATTAATGGTTATGCAAATTGACCTCAGATTCCTAGACTGAGTAAAAGGATAGTATTTTTGCAGAAAAAATTTTGATACTGGAAAGATAGTGTCTAGTTTGTCAGCATTTGTCTTATCCAGATTCATCTATGAATTTGTTCTTTAAGACATTTGGATGTAAGGATTGGTTCATATATATTGATGGTGTTGACAGAATAAATGAATATTTTGTTAATTTTGTGTACACTTCAAATGCAGGACTCTTAATGAACGATTGTAAACATTCCATTTTGCAGGTGTGTGGTTACCGTCTCAGACTTCATTTTGACGGTTATTTAAGCTGCTATGATTTTTGGACTAATGCTGGGTCCCCTGACATTCATCCAGTAGGGTGGTGTGAAAAGACCAAACATGAATTACACATCCCTAAGGGTAAGTCAGGAGGAAAAGACAATCAGCTTTTTAATGAAGTGCTAACAAGAGAGCCTGGTGTGAATTGATTTTCAAAATGAAAGTTTGATCCACAAAAAGCAGCAAGACTACAGGATATCACTGTTAGAAATAAATAAATGTCTTTAAAGAAAAGCGTCAAAGACCGTTTAGGTCAAATACTCTGAGGTACATAGGGCAGAAGTAAAATCTCATGAGAGCATTTTATCTTACATAAAGTTTTATTAAACTTTATAAGGAATGAAGAAACTAATGTTTAAATTACAGTTGAAATAAAATATTTCACTTAATCAGTGATGATGTACCGTGAGGAAACTTGATTCACTGTATATCATTTGTTTCAAGCAGAAATCATGGAGCACAGGGAACTATGAAAGTGAAAAATTCACTGTTTTCTTTCGATGGGAATTAAAAATCTCATCTCTGTCTTTTGTTATGTGGGAGAGGAACTGGGTCTGGCAGACATGACTGAAACCTTTCTTACCTGCTGTCTGCTAGTGAGGTGAGGATTCACAGGTTGAGATGCCAGTGGGCCTGTTTCCTTGACCAGCAAATTTGTATATAAGGTCTCCTGCTTGGGTGTTAGACTCCTGGCTGACCGTGGCAACTTCTGGAGTCACTGTATAGTCATTTTACTCTTAGGAAGCAGCTCAGGGTGTCCTCTGGGATCCACCCCTGAGGCTGGCAGCAGGGCCCCCTGAGATTGCTGGGTTTCAGGGAGGTTGGAACAGGCCCCAGGTTCATCCACCCCGTGGGTGGTAGGTGTTCGTGAAGCCTTTCCTGTGTGCAGGCCCTGGAGACCTAGCAGTGAATAAAGGAAACCGCCTCTGTCTTCACGGGGCTTTCATTCCAGAGGGGAGAAGGGGGATAAACAGAGCGGAAGGTGCGTGTCTAGCGGCGACAGGCATGGAGTGCTGAGTGGGGTCCCAGGGCTGCCCTTGCAATATGCAAGGTGAAGACAGGCCTGGGGTGTGACATCTGACAGATGCCAGGACGGGTGCACGACAGAGACAGCCAGCTGGCTCCCTGGGGAGGAGCACGTGTCAGAGCCCAGCAGCGGGTGTGGCGCAGACCAGTAATCACAGGAGCGCTGGAGCAAGCGGAGAGGCAAGTGCCAGGAGGGAGGAGATAAGTGAGAGGTGTCGCCGCGGCCTTGAAGGCCAGTGCAAGGAGTTTGACGTCTGTTCTGTGACACTCAGTCTCAGTATTTCCTGAGCCTGGTTATTTGGGCCAGTCCCACACGAGCTGCTTTAGGGCACATGGACAGGAGGGTCAGGCATTTTATTGGGAAGCCCGTAAAGACAAGGGCAGAAAGCTGGAACTGCCACGTGGCCTGGGGGGAGGTTCTGTTGCCCCTGCAGTGTCTGGCTCCCCCGGGGCTGCTTACCATCAGGCCCACGCTGGCCTCGGGGACGTGGCTGCTTCAGGAGGCCTGAGGGACGCAGGAGATGAGACTCCTGTCAGGAGTACTGATTCCATATTTGAATGAGTTTTAAACTTTGTAGGGAATGACATGCATGGTGGGAAATCAAACACAACAGTTTGGAATTCCATACATTAAAACAGCACTACAACAGTTTAGAGCTTTTAATATAAATCTTTTGTGTCTGCTAAAGGACGTTGAATTTATGGCAGAAAACTGAATAAGAATAGTATTGATACATTTATTATGCTTATGGTTACATCTTGTGGGTATTTTGAATAATCCGTACTTTTTTTTTAGGTTATAGAAAAGATAAATTTGTTTGGATGGATTACTTGAAGGCCTGCAAATTGCAAAATGCTCCCAAGAAATTATTCAGAAACAGAAATTCTGTAAGTATTTTCTTCCATAGCATAAATCAGATTTTTACTTCAACTTAAATTTCTGAAAATTCACTATGTATTCTGTTCTGTTTTAATCTTTTAAGAATCCTTAGCTTCCTGTGACTTTTCTCACTAGATTTGTCAGTTTCCTATGGGCATATTTGTTTTTCTTTTAAACATACAATTAAATAATTAGATGGAGAGAGTAGAAACATTTACATGTAAAGCTGGCTAAAATTTAAAATGCCTTTTAGAAGGTGTTTCTTTTTGCTTCTAGTGAGTTAGTCGTTTAAATTTAGTTTGATGCTTTGAGACCTGCTGATATGCCAGGTGGACTTTGACTGTACCTGGGCCAGTTGTATTTATGTGTAATGAAAAAGAGGGTGACGGCTCATATAGATTCGAAGGGTGTGTGAGGATTTGGGTGGAGCACACTCACCCTCTGTGTCCCAGCAGCCTAACAGGTGTTCAGGAGAGAAGGAGAAAAAGTCACAGCCCCACCTCCTCTGGGCCCCAGGTGAGGCCACACACCGCGGAGGGGCGGGAAGCCTGGAGCCAGGGAGGCCCCACCTCCTGCTGGCTGTGTCCCCTGATGACAGTCCCCACCCACCGCCCCCTTCCCCAGGCTTCAGTGTCCTGCTCTTGAATCAGTGTTCTACAACTGTTCAACATGTTTCATAGACTCGTATCAAGGAAGAGAGTTAGAGAAATGTGAAAATGCTTTAAGAAAAGTAATGTGCTAAAGGAAACCAAAAATCAGGATCCAGTATAGATAGTAAAGAAGTAGGGGAAAAAAAACCCTCTTCTAGTCCCTGGATATTGTGTGTATATTTTCTAAATCCCAGGCCTGGCTAATTATAGCTATAGAAAAAGTGGGGCTTTATCATTGTCATGTTATTATAAATCATAGCCCTTAGTATTTTTAATACTAAAAAAAGCATTTGTTTTTTTTCAACTATGATTTATTTATGGATAAACGCATGTGTTCCTTAAATGTTGAGAAAGCCACTAATTTCAACACTTGATCAAAGTGTAAGTGGTAATGTTAGTGCTAAAGAGCATATCTTTAAAACTTTTCCAAATAGTGGTATTTGGAAATATACCACCCATCTAAAGCCTACGGGGACCAGAGAAAATTATTTGATATTACTGTATTCAATAAACAGTGTATTTTAAAACTAATACAGATTATTCTATGAACTGAAGAGGGAAAATGATGATGAAAGGGGAAATAAAACCTGCCTGCACAACAAAAGAGAAAAGCACAGAGTAAAAGCTCATTTCCTGGGATTCGTTTTTTATGAATGTACGCTTGGTAACAGTCTGTTGGAATATTTTTGCTGGCTGGCTTCATTCTGCAGTGTAAGTGTTGATACCCTGTAGACTTTTCTGATGCTAAACATGACAAGTTTTGACAGTGGCTCAGTCCTGTTTGGTGTCCTGTTTCTCTTTGTGCCTCTTCCCCGTGTTAGAATGGGCCAGTGCCTAAGGAATTTCAGGTTGGAATGAAGCTGGAGGCTGTCGACAGGAAGAACCCTTCCTTGGTATGTGTGGCAACCGTAGCAGATGTTGTTGGAGATCGCTTGCTAGTGCATTTTGACAATTGGGATGATAGTTACGATTACTGGTGAGACACCATTCTGCGTTGTATTTTTGTGTGTTCGTGTTCGCCATTAAGAATTTATGTTCATTCCATGACTGTCACTGTTCTTATAGTAATGAGCATGAGGAATCTAGTGGCTGGCTTGTCACTACCTTCTTTTCCTCGTGAACTGTTGAATTAAAGAACCCGAGAAAGTTTTTTTTCATCTCTGAGAGGTTGCCTAATGAGGCCTCATCTGAAATAATGTGACCAGTTCAGGGCAGTCCACTATATTGTGTCTAGTTTGTAAGGGAAGCATTTCTGTATAGAGGAAGTTAAGAACTTGCAGTATTATTTTTTCCTGAAAAATGTTGAACTCAGACTGTCATATTTTTAAAAGGGAAGATTCAGGGAGAATGGAGTGAATTATTTGAAAGCCTATGAAGAGCAGAGAAAATGTATGCTCACGATGCCATTAAGCTAACATTGCATGAGTTAAAAGGATTTTCTGGGTGAAAACCTGAAATATGGAAGAGGGCATGGCAAAAATAATTTTTGTGGCATTTCTTAAGAGCATATCCTGAATAATTGACAAGTCCCCGCCTGAGGCTGTGATTCTTCATGTGCATGGTGGGAGGAGGGGGGCTGTTTTCTTCTTTGAACTAAGAAGAAGAGCATGGATTAATTGCTGTATGTGTCTTAGGTGGTATGGTCTGGGTTCCTGAAAAGGAGAGGGAGGAAACCGTGGGCATGTGGAGTCTGGTCTGTCTTATTAAAATTTGGACTGGGCTATTAATATTTTCCCTTGCTGCTAGCAAGAAGTGGTAGAAGGGGTTTATTAAAATGTTCACTCTCCGGGGAGATCACTGGCAGTTCAGGTCCTAGTCAAACACTTTTTAAAGAAATACTTTTAAATTTCAAGAAGGTTATGTAAAAGAGAAGTTTGCCCACTCAGCTTGCAAAATATAGAACTAAAATTACTTCTGTTTCTCTTAGGCTATAAAATATTTTAGCTATGCCGTAGTATTTTCTGTGTCATCTCTTAATATCTAGAATGATCATTACTCTTGGAGTCTTTCTCTGGTGTTAATATGGGATCTAAAATAGAATCCTGTTTTTGCAGGTGTGACGTCAATAGTCCTTATGTTCAGCCAGTTGGTTGGTGTCAGGAGCATGGAAGAACTCTGATAGCACCCCAAGGTGAGTGGACTGGCTGGGTTCTCTTTGAAGTCATCTCTGTGTGAGTGGTAATGCCCATTCTTATTTTTGTTTATGGAAACCACATTTCAATACAAAGTGTATGATAAAAATATCTTGCAGGATTCTGTGGACCATCAAGGGACCCAGATGTGTGAAATCTGCACATCCTTCCCCATAATGCAAATGGACTGTGTTTATAAAGACATATTAGGCAGCCATTTAAAAAAAGTGCTATTTTTTTATCCAATGAAATGAGTGCAATCACTGTGAACTGACTTTTAAAACTAGCTATTTCAACCTATGTAATTTAACTTATTGCCAATGTTAATTCATTAATTGACCATTAGGTTATTAAATATACTTAACTTTGGAGTTAAATGTAAGAAATGTAGAAACCTAAGAAGTGAGAATTAATAATGAGGGCCTAGACTTGCCAGACCCCTTCACCAAGCCAACTTAGTGGCTCAGCTAAACACTGACATAGGGACTTTCTTGTTATTTATCTGTTTTCTCATTACAGAAATGGAATATCTCTCCCTTTATTTAGTTCTTTGATTTATTTCAGTGGCATTTTGTGGTTTTTCTCATATAGATCTTACATATATTTTGCTAGATTTTATAACCTGTTATTTTGAGTGCTAATGTATATGGTATTGTGTTTTTAATTTCAAATTTCACTTGTTCATTGCTGGTATATAGGAAAGCAGTTGAATTTTATGTGTTAGCCTTGTATCCTGCGACCTTGTTATAATCACTTATTGGTTCTTAGAGTTTTTTTGTTGATGCTTTTGGATATTCTACACCTCTGTGAACAAAGTTATATTTCTTTCTTCCCAGTCAATATATCGTTTATTTCCTTTTCTTGTCTTATTGCATTAGCTAATATGTACCATGCTGTTTAGACCACTGTAGCTTTTTAGTCAGTTTTGAAATCTGGAAATGTGAACCCTCCAACTTTGTTCTTCTTTTTCAAGATTGCTTTGGCTATTTGTGGCCCCTTGCAGTTCTTTATGAATTTGAGGATTGGCTTTTTCATTTCTGGAGAAATGACTGTTGGGATTTTGGTAAGGGTTATGTTGAATGTAGATTGTTTTAGGGAGTGTTGCCATCTTAACAGTATTAAGTTTTCTAATCCATGAACATGGGATGTCTTTTCACTTACTTAGACCTTTCATTTCTGTCAGCAGTATTTTTTAGTTTTGGGTGTACAGGTCTTTTACCTCCTTGGTTAAATTTATTGGTATTTTATTCTTTTGGATGCTGTTGTAAATGGAATTGTTTTATTTATTTATTTTTGGAATTTTTTATTTCTGGCATAAAGAAACACAAATGATTTCATAGTCTGCAATTTTGCTGAATTTGTTTATTAGCTCTAGTAGGTTTTTTGTGTGGATTCTATGGGATTTTTTCATATAGAATTGTGTAGTCTATCAAAATAGTAAAGTTCCAAAAAATTCATATTTCTAATTTGAATGCCTTTAATTTTGTGTCTTGCCTAATTATGCTAGCTAGGACTTCCAGTACCCTGTTGAATGTAGTGGTAAAAATAGGCATTCTTAGGGTGAAAAGATTTCAGTCTCTCACTATCAAGTATGATATTAGCTGTGGGTTTTTCATAAATGCCCCATATCATGTTAAGGAAGCTCCCTTTTACTCCTAGTTTTCTGAGTGTTTTTTTCATAAAAGGGTGTTGAATTCTGTCCAGTGATTTTTCTGCATCTATTGAGAAGATTATGTGGGACTTTCTTCTCCTTTGTTTCGTGGTGTATAATCCTTCTAATGTGCTGTTGAGTTCAGTTTGCTACCGTTCTGTTGAGAACTTTTGTATCTGTATCCATAAGGGGTATTGGTCTGTTGTTTTCTTGTCATGTCTTTGGTCTGTTCTTTTCAATGCTGTAAATGGAATTGTTTTCTTAATTTTATCTTTGGATTGTTCATTGCTACTTGGTAGAAATACAATTGATTTTTATGCAAATACCTTATACTCTGAATTCATTTATTTGCTCTAATAGTTGTGTGTGTGTGTGTGTGTGTGTGTTCCTTAGGATTTTCTATATGCAAAATTATGTTATCTATAAGTAAAGATACTTTCACTTCTTCCTTTCCGATCTGAATACATTTTCTTTCTTTCCTGAATCCTCTGTCTAGACCTCCCAGTGCATGTTGAACAATAGTGGCAGGATCAGACATGCTTTTCTTGTTCCTGATCCTAGGGGAACACTTCGTCTTTGCACATTAAACATGATGTTTGCTGTGAGCTTTTTGTGGATGCCCTTTATCAGATTGAGGAAGGTCTCTTCTGTTCCTAGTTGTTTTATCATGAAAGGGTCGTCCTTTATTCTATTAATATGGTTTTATTATATTTATTGCTTTCTATATGTTGAAACAATCTTGTCTTCTTGGGATAAATCTCGTGTGTGTGTGTGTCTGTGTGTGTGTGTGTGTGTGTGTATAAATATATTTTTTCTTACATGTTGCTGCACTACTTGGTTAGCTAATATTTTATTGAGGAATTTTGTATCTGTACTCATAAAGTCATCTACTCTTTTTTTTTAATGCATTACTTTAAAAAAAATTTATTTATTTATTTGGTTGCACCAGGTCTTAGTTGTGGCAGGCAGGCTCCTTAGTTGCGGTTCCAGGGCTCCTTAGTTGTGACACACAAACTCTTAGTTGCAGCATACATGTGGGATCTAGTTCCCTGACCAAGGGTCAAACCCAGGCCACCTGCATTGGGAGCATGGAGTCTTATCCACTGCACCACCAGGGAAGTCCCAAAGTCATCTACTCTTTTAAAATGTTTTTATTCCTATTAGAGTTATCTAAAGCTGCTCTGAGTGCTAAGGAAAAACAGGATGAACAATAAGTCAAGAAGTTTGGTTATTTAAAACCTTAATCCACCATATGATTACTTGTCTTTAGTGGGGACTCAACCATGTTAGAAAGGGGTCCCCTCTTATGGTGCTGCAGGGTGTTGACCCTGCACAGTGGCCTTCATTGAATGCCAGGAAGCTTCCCATTTGGTTTGGGAAGTAAATGTAAAATGAAAATTCAAGCAGATTAGCCGCTTAATCAAGGTATGATCAAGAGAGTGGAGTGTAATGAAAATATATGCAAAGGAGCTGTGAGTAAAAATTGGGTGAAGGCAATTAAAGCTGAGCAATAAACAAAATTTTTTAAAGCTCGTGATGAGTCGTGATCATGCTGACCTCTAGGTTTGTGGGAAAGCACGAGTGCACCAGAGATGTTAGTCCCTGGTTAGATGCACAAGAGAGGAAAGGTTTGAGGCCATGGGGTAGAAGGAGCCCTGAGGCAGGATAATAGAATGCTGTGCACTCAGATAGTTCACAAATGGGAATTAAACATGAGATTTTAAAAGAAAAACCTAGCAACCCACATAATCTTCAGATATTCTCTCCCCTACGACAAGGCTGGAGCTAGAACTGCTTGAAATACACATATATGTTATGTATTGTATTTTATACATATTATCTGTCATATAGATTTTATATTTATATATGTATATTCAGAGTTTATAGGAAAAGATAAGAAATTAGCATTGGTTGGATGACTTGTTTCTGTTAGTAATTTGGCTCCACAATTTGTTAGCTGTAGTTATTTTACTTTAAGTGAATTTGTGTCTTACACATCATTTATGCCTATAGATTTTTACATTAAATTTTATTTTATGGTTGTAATTACATGTCAGAAAAAATGTATTTGCTATATTTGTCATAGCTTGTGTGTGTGCGCGCGCGCGCGCGTGTGTGTGTGTGTGTGTGTGTAATTGTACTTCTGAGAGCGATGAAGGCTCTTGAAAGTGGAACAGCATGTGCTGGTCTGTACAGTTACCCCTGGTGCACACTCACATTCTCACAGGTTCCCGATAAAAGAACTTCCTCAGAGAAAGAGAAGAAAAGATTAGTTTTTGAAACATGTGTGACCTATAAATTGTAAAGGTGTTATTTTGCTGATGTAAGTTTAATCCAAGCTGTTACATATTCTACTCAGTATCTTTCTACAAGGACGAAAAAATATGGCAGGGCCCCCTCTATTCCTTCAGAAGATGCAGTCTGCTGGGATTTTAGCCAAAGTCACAAAATGACAAAAAAAAAGTGTTAGGTAGGTGCATAGGAAACCCTGATAATACAGATGTTACGTTTGAGGAGGAAAAGCCCCTGTCCAGACGGCTTGCCGGGCTTCATAGTGAGCTTCTGATCTTCATCTGGTGATGGACAGGCCATGTCCAGTTAACAGTCACCTCCTAACAAATAGGGGTAAATCTGATCCTTCTGTTGAAGTAAAATCTCCTAGTAGCATAGTTTTAGGTAGTACATCATACAGCCAACTCTGTACAATTAAAAATTGGGTTGCTCTATTAAAGAACATTAGTAGATTGTTAGCTAAAAGTTACCTTTTTTTCTTTTCTAGTTCTTTTGAATGGTATTGCTATTTTAAAAGTAACTCATTACTTTGTATGTATACGAAGTTTCCAGTACACTTTATTGCTCAGAGTGACTTGTTTACCAGTTAAAACAGTGGTTTTTTCCAACAGTCTTGTATGTGTGAAAGTCTGTTCTGTAGTCAGCGACAGGAGCCTCCACCCCAACGAGCTTCCCGCTCAATCTGGGCAGGTGGATGGGGAGCCCTGCGGACCCTGTTGACTGACAGCGGGACCACGTCCCCCTGAGGGCTGGTGTCCTGCACTGAGATCCTCTCCAAATCTGCTGTCAACTGAACTCAAATTCAGTTCAGCAAACATCATCTCCACAGTGACTTCTGTGTTTACAGAAGGTGGAGGACCAAGTAAGAATAAAACACGATTCTTGCCCTGAAGGAAGGGATCTATTTATATTTTTGTAGAAACTTTATTGAGATCTAATTCACATACTATACAGTTCATCCATTTGAAGTGTAAGATTCAGTGTTGTTTTTTTTTTTTTAACATATTTACAGAGTTGTGTAACCATCACCACGATCAATTTTAGAAAGTTTCCATC